CTCTTGCTGCTGCTGCTAATGATTTTACCATTAAAACTCTCAATTTACTGAAATAACAAAGATTTCAGTGTTTCTTCTTCCTTCAAATATACATTCTTATTATTTTTCTACTTCCTTTTAAGAATTTACTATTACAGTGCAGAAAATGAAGTTTGGTTCTTCTCATCTTCTTCATAATTTGATTAACGAGAGAAATCTTTGAGATATCCATAGTCCACATGAGACCCATTTAGGGTTTTGATCTCTCTACATGGAAACTTAATTTGGGGAGGATTTATAATGTTTGATCTTTGAGACCCTTTTCATCAAATTTTTATTTTGGTTTGTTTTAATTTTGTTCAATAACAGTTTTATTATATATATATTTTTAGGTTTGAAAAAAATATAATTATTTGAATGAAACTTATCTATAATTGACACATACGCATAAAGTCGTGGGTTCGAATTTGATATTTTGTACTAAAAAAATAAATTACATTTTAAATGATTTTGATTAATTTCATATCCTGTACTAAAAAAAATAAATTACATTTTAAATGATTTTGATTAGAATTCCATATCCTGTAATATTTTTAATGTCATCTTAAGTTGAGAGAATTTATTAAGAGAGGGCTTCCTTGGGGGGAGAGGCTCAAATCCCATCAGCCAAACAGTAACTAAAGCTGAGTAATGATTTTGTCTTGAGCAAGAAAAAGAAAGAAAGAACAGACACTGATTGTGAACACAGGAAATGGAGTCAAAGCAATCAGACATTTTTGATTAATCAATTTTCAGATAATGTTTTTCTCTCCCTTTCCTATATGTTTTTACCAAAAAAGCAAACATTAGACAAATTTGTGTCTAAAGTCAAAAAGAGACATATAATGAATTAAAAGTGTATATATATATATATATATATATGAGGAAGCCTAAACAATCGCGCCAATTTCAAAAAATGATAAAAATTTTCCATCTTTTTTTTAAGGAATTATTGCTGATAATTTGTATTAAAAAAAGTATCTAAAGATTTGTTAGTAGTCATCAATAATTATTCAATTCTATATAAGAATGTTTTTATTATAATTATTGAGATATATTAACTAAAAAAATACATGTCACATGGTTAACATGTCAAATTACTTACGAATAATGTATAATGTTAAATATATATTTTTTTAATTTCTTATATAACTTTAATGGAAATGAACAAATAAAAGGAAGGGGAGATATGGCGCCAGGCCCAATTGTAGAATTGGGCTTTCCCAAAGATGTGATTGCCTCTTCTGTTTTCAGATGGGTAGGAGTCCGTTGATACTCGTGGGCTAAATGTATAACTGGCCCATCTGTATGGTTTAAATTTTTTGAAATTAATGGTGTTGAAAAAACCCAACAACCCGACCAACTCAATCCAACCCAATCCTTGGGGTAGATGAAGCATTGGATTGGGTTGAGTTGGGTTTCGGGTTCAACCTTTAAAAAGTCGTGTGAACCCAACCCAACGCAATCCGAATTTATGCATATATATTTATCTTAAATGTCCACCGTCCATTTAGTTTTAATCCCAGTCTTAAATTTAAAGTTTTTATATTATTTTCTTTCATCTTGTATCTTAATCTCAGCCGCTGCCGCCGTGATAATAAAAAATTGAAAACTATAAAAAGAAACACAACCCGACAACCAAACCCAACCCAATGAGAAGATAATGGGTTGAGCTGACCATCCAATTCAGACTCGACGGTTCCTATATATGGTTGCCCCTAATTAAGAGAGAAAATTCCATCAAATTTCTGTGTGAGTAAACTCAAAAGAACCCTGATAACACTCCTCATCTTGATAGTATAGTTTAGATAGGAAACTTTTTTTTCAATCTTATAATCGAAACCCTCCAAAAATTGAATGATTTATCAAGTTGGACAGTTTCTGAGGCGTGCAAGGTATAAAGCAAGCAACTGCACACAATACATGCTCATAGTTTGGAAGCAAAAGAATGTACAAAGGCTAAAATTTCATCGATCATCATAAAAAAGCTGTAAAATCTCAAATGTATAATCGAGAGCTTGTTTCCATATAGCTAATCAAATAAGAGACTTGATTTAACTAAACTAACCTAATTAGAATAGTGTTTAAAACAAGTTAAGCTAATCAACAAAGCATAAATGTGAGAAATCAGTTTCCCAAACCTTTGTTTCCTCTTCCATCATTGCTCGTGTGGTGCGACTTCGTAGACATAAACTAGCTTAAGATCATGATCTATACTCTTGAGTGGTGAATATTGTGGTCGGTGACGTCGGTGGGAACGAAAAAATATTAGTCAAGGAAAAGGGAGAGCTATTTTTTTTTTCTTTTTACCTCACTTTTTTTTTAGTGTCACATATGTGTAAGTATACACCATCGTCGTAGCCAGTAATAAAAAGTTTGAATCCGCTCACTAAATATTTTAATGACTGCTCAAGAAAGCAAATACTTAAAACACAATATTTTCAACAACATAAACAAAAAGGGCAATTAAGGAATTAAATGCTAGGGTGCTAACTGCATGCAATAAACATGCACCTAAATCAACTTCATTTAGTTTCAAAAGTAAAGTACACAATCAAAAGGTTAACCACTGACTTTTAAAAAGGGTAAGGTGAAAGTTTAATGTGACCTTTTATAGGCTACACAAATGATACTATTGCATTAATAATGTTGAAATATTGGCCAAACAGACTGGAGTCTTCTCATACATCCCAAATTTTATGCTATTAGGGTTTCTAGACAAACTCAACAACATATAAGAATATTTTATAACGTAACCTTGCTAGGTGAGTCCTATTCTTAAGTATCCACTATCTAACTCAAGTAGTGTACCACTTGAGTTAACAAAGAGATATCCAAACATATTGATCAAGCATATTGAAAATAAACCATAAAAACAACTTCAACTAAATATTCATCATCATTAACACTAACGGCATGATTATAGCCCAAGAAAAGTGTTCACAACATTTCCCCCTCACAAATGGGTTTAGCTACGCATAGCCATAAAAGAACACAAGAAAATGACAAGAAGAAATACAATACAAAATGGAATCAAGGATGAAGAGATGGAGTTGAAGGTTTTAGCTCTGGGTCAATATGCTTTCTACCTCAACTGCTTTAGTGAGTATTCTTCTTCTCCTCTCGACTTCTTCGAACAACAGTCTTTTGGGAGGTTTTCTTGAAGTGAGGTTGAGGTGATGTGGAAGTGATCGTGGAGGCTTCCTTAAATGAGAGCATTTATACTCCTTCTGTTTTTAGGCAACAAACAAATTCAATGGGTCCCAACTCTCACTTCTAGGTGATTCGTTGAGTTACTGGTAACTCACAGTGTAAAGCTCTGTCATTGTCAACTTGTCGTTTTTTTCTCCTATTTGATTCCGATGCTGTAGCATAGTTGATGTTGCAACAAACGCCCAAAATTAGATCTTTCAACAATGTTAACAAAGTTAAGAAGGAAGACAAAATTGTAACGTTTCATGCGCAGACTCAGTGTAAATTTGGGTGCAAATGAGGCTATCCTTAGCTAAGCTACGTGAAAATCTCGCCCAAATAACTCTCTTTTAGAGGGTTATCATTAACATAAAAATAATATATATTTTTTTAGTACAACAAATGAGAGGTATGAATGGTTGAAACTTTGATTTTGAGAATAATCATATATTAATTACTATTGAACTACGTTTCTGTTACATCCAAATAATATAAGTAATATAATATGCATATAGTAAGCATTTTTACGAGGGTTACAAATTCCGTTAGTTTAGGACGCATTATTGAAGCCTTGCGAGTAAAATATACGATTTTGTAAAAGGATCCAAAAAGTTTATTATAATTATTTTATTTAGGCTAAATTAAAAAAAAAATTATCGTGAACTTTGCCACTTGTATTAAAAGTTTCCTATGTACTTTTTTTTAATACCACTTTTAACATTTTATAAATATTTTAAAAATACTCTTTAATTAAACCTCCATTGATATTTTGAACGAAAAATTGACATGACATAATTTAAAATGGCGTAATAATTCATGTCTCAATTTTGTTTTAGGAATCTTCTTCCTCTATTGTCAATCATTTGCCCTAATCTCCCATTAAAAAAAAAGATAGATTCTTCTATATTTTCTCTTGTTTCAGACTTAATTTAAAAAAGAATCTGCGTTAATTACCGTGTAGTTTTATTTTAGGTCAAATCAACTTTTTCATTCAAAATATTAATGGATATCTTCAACTTTTAAAAGTTTCTTTTTAATAAATTTATAAAACTCTATATTTAAGAAATCCCGAAGATAGAGATATTTTATTGTAATTTGTATAATGTATGGTGCCCAAAAGGAAAGGGGGGAAAAGGGAGAACCAAAAAGATCGATCATGTGTTAAGGAACCCCTACCCTCGCCGGAAACTCGACGCCGATTGCAACTTCGATCAGTAAGTACCGGTATCATTGAATATCGTGGACAAGACGGAAACCCTAATTATTTGCGCCTCTGCCATGGTCGAGCTCCCCAAAATCCTATCCCCGACACTGGTTCTGAAGCTCCTCAAAGCAGAGAAAAACCCAAATTCGGCACTGGCTCTGTTCGACTCGGCGTGTCAGCACCCGGGTTATGCTCACTCACCATTCGTATTCCACCACATACTCCGGCGACTAGTCGACCCGAAGCTCGTCGTTCACGTTGGTCGGATCGTCGACCTGATACGAGCTCAAAGATGCATCTGCTCCGAAGATGTTGCGCTGACGGCTATCAAAGCGTATGCCAAGTGTTCTATGCCCGATCAAGCTCTGTATTTGTTTCAAGGGATGGTCGACATTTTTGGGTGTAGACCGGGAATTAGGTCATATAACTCTATGCTTAATGCCTTCATTGAGTCTAATCAGTGGAGTCGGGCTGAACTGTTTTTCGCATATTTTCAGACAGTGGGCATGTCGCCCAATCTGCAAACGTATAATATATTGATCAAGATATCTTGCAAGAAGAAGCAGTTTGAAAAGGCGAAGAAACTGTTGAATTGGATGTCGGAAAAGGGTCTGAACCCTGATGTTTTCAGCTATGGTACTTTAATTAACGCACTTGCGAAGAGTGGTAACTTATCTGATGCCGTGGAGGTGTTCGATCAAATGTCTGAGAGACGGGTGGACCCTGATGTTATGTGTTATAATATTCTGATTGATGGGTTTTTCAGGAAAGGTGATTTTGTGAAGGCTAATGAGTTTTGGGAGAGATTACTGAGGGAATCTTCAGTTTATCCGAGTGTGGCGACGTATAACATTATGATTAATGGTTTATGCAAGCTCGGGAAGTTCAATGAGAGTATGGAGATATGGAATAGGATGAAGGAGAACAAAAGGTCACTTGATTTATTTACTTTTAGTTCTATGATACATGGCTTGATCAAAGCAGAAAACTTCGATGCTGCTGAGAGAATTTTTCAGGAGATGGTTGACAGTGGGTTATCCGCTGATGTGACAACATATAATACAATGCTTAACGGTCTATTTCGAGCCAGAAAGCTATGTAAGTGCTTTGAGTTGTGGGAGGTGATGGTTAAGAATAATTTTTGCAATATTGTTAGTTATAACATATTAATTCAAGGATTGTTTGACAACAAGAAGGTGGAAGAAGCTATTTGTTACTGGCAGCTCTTACGTGAGAGAGGCTTGAAGGCAGATTCAACAACCTACGGAGTGTTGATTCACGGGCTGTGTAAAAATGGATACTTGAGTAAGGCTTTAAGGATACTGAAAGAAGCAGAAAATGAGGGAGCTGATTTGGATACTTATTCATACTCCTCAATGATTGATGGGTTATGCAAGAAAGGGAGGCTGGATGAAGCTTTAGAGTTGTCTAACCAGATGAACCAACATGAACATAAACTGAATTCTCATGTCTACAATTCACTGATTAATGGATTTGTCCGAGCTTCTAAACTAGAAGAGGCTATTTTTCTTCTAAGGGAAATGAGCAAGAAAAACTGTGCTCCTACTGTTGTTTCCTACAACACTCTAATCAATGGTTTGTGCAAGGTAGAAAGATTTAGCGATGCATACCTTTTTCTGAAGGAGATGCTGGAAGAGGGGTTGAAGCCTGATATGATTACTTATAGTTTGTTGATTGGTGGCCTGTGTCGAGGTGAGAAGCTTGACGTGGCGCTCAACTTGTGGCACCAATGCATCGATAAGGGTTTTAAGCCCGATGTAACCATACACAATATAATAATTCATGGTCTTTGTACCGCCCGAAAAGTTGACGTTGCCCTGCAGATCTTTACTCAAATGGCACAGGTGAACTGTGTTCCGGATCTTGTAACACACAACACCATCATGGAAGGTCTTCATAAAGCCGGAGACTGTGCAGAGGCTTTAAAGATTTGGAACCGCATCTTGGAAGAGGGTCTTCATCCAGATATTATTTCTTATAACATTACTTTCAAGGGACTTTGCTCTTGTGCTAGAGTTTCAGATGCCATTGGGTTCCTATATGATGCTTTGAATCATGGAATCCTTCCCACTGCCACAACATGGAACATTCTTGTAAGAGCAGTTGCTGATGACAGGCCTTTAATGGAATATGCTCTTACTGCAGAGTCTCGGGTGTAATTTGATTCTCATCTGATGCTATGAATCAAAGACTTCTTCCAACTGCGATAACATGGAACGTTCTTGCTAGAGCAATTATTGATTATGGATCTTCAACATCATCTTTTCGATTTAAGCGATTCAAAGGGTAAGACTGTCTCCTCTCTCTCATCCCACAATCCCAATTTCTTCTACTGAATCTGCTGCTTACATAGTAAACACCTTCTAATGGATCTTACTGATTCCTTCTACTGTTTATCACTTGCTAGGTAATTAAGCTGCCTTAAGAATGCAAGTGCTCTTTTTAACATTTCTTTGAAAAATATTCAAATCCCAACAGCAAACTTCAGCTAGATGTGCTAGCACTTGCATTCCTCATAACTCCTACAAGGATACCAGATCTTTAAGTGCAGATGCTTCGAATAAGTGAGCTGCACTTCCTTCGGAAAACAAGTTGACCCAACTGTTTGATCAGCTATTACTGGCTTTTAGGTCCTTGCTCTTTCCAGTATCAATTTCTTTCCGGCAATTCTTGCAGGTCTTATTTGTTAATTATGTGTTATTGCTCTTGAAGAGACTTAAAAGCTGTCCGGCAAAGAGGTAGGATCATCAGTTAAGGAATGCCGTGCCTCATCCATTTTTAGTTTGGATGGCTGGCCAGTGAAGTTCAAAGTTTTCTAAAATTTTCACTTTTATTTTAGTATAGCGATACATCTTATTGAGCCCATGGTTAATAATCATGTTTTCCTAAAGAGTTTCTGTTTAGATTAGAATTTGAAAGCTATCCAATCAGGCTCCAATGTCATGGTGTTTTTAACTTTGGATAGATGGCAGGAAAAATATATGTTCTGCAGCTTCTGCTTCCTGTTTTATTAATTTGCTCTGCAATTTGCACTTGATTTTTCCTCGTGCAAATATGTTATAGACATACAGACAGATTTGTATCATAAAAAAAAAAGATACTGCAAAATTAGGCCCATGTAATTATGCTGAAGATATTAGTACAAGATCTTTCTGAAAGACCATCGTGAAAATTCCAAGCATCAAATGTTGTAATTCATTACAGAGGTCAGGGTGATTGAAGTCATAATCACCAAGATCGAATGTTATCGATGCAAAAGCAAAGTAGCTTGACGTATCAGACCCGAGCTGAGAGCATTCACTTGGGTTTATGTATCATGCTATAGTTATTATTCTACATCTTTTGCTCATACTTACTGCAGTAACACGGCTTCACTCTTTTTCTTCAGTTTGCTCTTTGATTTCTGTTTTTTCTATTTCAGATGACACCTTTTGCTCATAAGAAAATTGGGAAATCAAAGCAACAAGCATTGCTCCAAGAACTGCAACTTTCTGCCAATCAGGTGAAGAAAGGAACGATTCGGCAATCGCTATGACGAGCACGCCAATGAATGCAAGATATATGTATCGCCTCGTCTTTGATCCAGCATTTTCTTTTGTAAGCTCTCTAATCTTCTCCATTTCCACTTTAGCTTTCGCTTTGTCTACGGGCTTACTCTGCCTCAGGTTTTTAAAGAGAAGACCTTCATTTCTATCGTTTTCGATCCGACCCTCAAACTCTGCCAACATATCATCATTCTTCTCAATCTCCTGCCTGTTCAAATCTACAGACTCCTCAAACTCCTGCATCTGGCTCTCGATGTTTTCCATAATCTGTTTTATTAAAAAAAGAAGAGCAAGTACTCAAGTAGTGGGCTATACTCAAAACTGCAAATTTCAGCGACAAATGAGAAAGAAACTGAATAGAAACCCACCCGTGCACTGGCTTCATCAAGCCCTTTGAGGGCGTCTTCTCCAATCTTCTCAAACTCGGCATCGGCCTCTTCAGCAAACTGAGTAAGATGAGCGGATTTTTCGTCCAAAAAGTCGGTGAGTCGGAGTTTTTGGGTCTGAAGTTGTGCAATTCTGGCCAGTATCTCCTGCTTTTGAGGATCTCCTTCAGGTGAAGAGGGAGCAGTGGAGTCGGAAGTGTTGGAGTGGCAAAGGCATAAGGAGAAGCTCTTAGAGTTGGGAAGTTTTGTTGTGTATAAGAAGGTATGGCTGTGGACTGTGAAAGAGGTTTGAATGGGTTTGAGCGCTATCATTTCTCTTGTTTTTCTTGAGAGAGAGAGAGAGAGAGAGAGAGAGAGAGAGAAGTGGAAGGAGGGAGGAGGAGAAAGGGGGAGAAGCTTAGATGGACTTCTGGACCTCTCATTTTATGTACTTTATCAGTTTCATATATGAAATATGAGATATTAATAATTGATTCTCATTGGAGTTTGACTCGTTTTCTTATCCTTTCTTTAAGTTGTTATGTTTTTAGGTCGTAATACAATGGATGGAGATCCAAACTTTCGAATTCTTGCGAAAATCGATGATATATGTTGTAATCAGTTGAGTTATACTTTAAATTGATTCTAGGTGATATAATTAAGCATAACTATTTCGAAAAGTAAATTTAATTATAAAAAAATGTAGTAAAATGTTTAATAAGTAAATCTGATTATAAAAAAATGTAGTAAAATGCTTATTAAGCCTGTGTTGTTATTATTAACTTTTAACATGTGCGGTGGAGATTTGAATCTTCGATATTTTGGTTTATTAAGCTTGTGATGAGTTATTAAGTGGCATTGTTTTTCTTGATAAGTTTTAATATCATCTTTGAACAATTTTTTATAATATATATCAAAGTGGAGAAAAAAGACTAAAGGGTGAAGGTCGTTCTTTGGAATCATGTATATAATGTTTAAAAGAAAACCTTTTAGGAGTAACTTACCGAACATTTCATAGTAAAACATTGACTGCCTTAGGTGGCAACTACCAATTGACTAAAATAGTAAATTTTTATTTATCTCGGATAATTCTAGTCAAAATACACGTGGAATTAATACAATGTTTAAGCAATAGTGAAAACCAACACAAATATTTTAACTTAAACAAATTCTTGCACCAATTAGAGTATAGCTTAGTGGTAATTAACATATACTCCAACCAAGAGGTGTGAGTTCGAATCCCCTCTCTACTTAAAAGAAAAAAAAAAATCCTCTTCTAACAATTTTTTGTACCAAAATAAATGCTCACACAAACCAAACCAGAACCTCCGGGAGGGTTGCGGCCACGAGAACATGGGCCCAAGCCCACAAAATCCTCTTACAGTTGGGCTTAAGCCCAATGGAAGACAGCACATCAAGCATTTGGTGGGCCGGTGATAGGCCGATTAAGCATGTGACAGATATAGGGCCTCATAGGACAAGAAATTAATTGATTGGGCCAAACCCAGTTTGTCAGAAGCAGAAACAGGCTCTTGGCATCAGCCCGTACAACAAAATGTACGAACCTTAAAAGAATAAAAGTTACGTTACTAGGTTGACCAAAAATGATAGAGAAATTTAATCAACCATTTTTTTAAGCTCAAAAAAACCAAACCCCTAATTTGAGGCTAAAAATGACATTGACCTCTTTCATTATTTGTGTAGCATTTTGCTTTTCATTTCTTAAAATTTGCATTGAATTTTATTATGACCTTTACCGTTCAAGAAAAAAAAATGGTGTGTTGCAATCTAGTATTGGTTGAAAAACGAGATAACATTAAATTAGTTTTTCTAAAAAAGATCAATAAGAACAAAATATTTGATATTGAAAAATAATTTTTTAGTATCCATATTAATTGAGTCAATTTTAACTTTAAATCTTTATTTAAAGTTATATATATATAAACCTCCAACCTTTATGGATGTTACTTGGTACCTTAACATTCTCCCAAAAAAAAAAAATAGCACCTAAACTAATTGAATATATGGGCTAATTTTAACTAATAAACTATGGCACCTAAACATTTATAAGTGTTACTTGTGTGGTATTAGATTTTCATAAGTTTATTCCCATCCAAATTTCCATGTTATAAAGGTTAATCAATATTTCCATTGTATCGAAAAATATAATACAATATCAACCATAATATTATTAGTGAGAAGTATCTATATATTTAATGAGAAATACTTATTCATTAGTTTACATATATTTAATAAATTTCTTGGTTTCTATTTTTCTTTTATCAAATACATCGAAATTTCTCCAAAATTAAGACCCACGTATCCATATATTCAAAACCTTGCTTTTAGCTTAGTTTTGAGTGTTTGATTTGGGTGTTTTTTTGGCAACTCAATATATGGTGTTTTGTAGCCAGATTTGTGACTTTCCAGCTGGATTTTGAATATTTGGATGGTCACCTTCTGGATGCTTTAATTTATTAGTTAATTTCTGATTAATTCACTAATTTAGTTTCATAAACGACATTCATTTCACAACATATTCAAATTCAAATTCAAATTTAAATTCAATCAATCAAATTAAAATTTTAGAGCTGGATTACCCCACCCAACTAAATACCAAATACCAAATGAAAAAATTTCCCTACAAATCAAAATTATGTAACCATAACAAGATTATTTAAAGCTTAAAATTATCCAGAATAACAGTAATACAATACGATACACATATAACATTTAAAAAAAAAAAGAGTAAAAAATAAGTTCCAAACTTCAATGGGTTGGATCTTCCTGAACAAGAAAACTTGATGGAGACCTACTGCTGACCAATTCAAACTCCAAATTCCATAGTCCATAACTCAAATTACCATTTTTTTCCACTTATTAGAGAGAGACAGAAGAAGAGAGAGAGAGAATGTACTTACCCACCGTTGGTTTAATCTTAAGCTTTCAGTAAGGAAACCATTAGTAGTTGGGTTACTAATCTGAAGCTGACCTGAAAGCCATTTCTCAACAATAAAATAAACAAAAAAAAAATTATATTCAATGGATAAATTCAACACCCTTTTACAAGCTTTTTGTTTTTCCCTCTTTGCAAAAAATCCATTTTCATCTTACTTGAAAATGCAACATACCTTCCATGAAACTCTGCACTTTCCCTTCCATTTCCTCTTTACCAGAAATCTGAAAATGACAACTAAACATTTTTAATCTCAAACACATTTTCCTTTTCTTTGAGCTCCTAACCAAATTGTTCACCTCCTTCCCACTGACATTTACAACATGCTTGTAACAGAGACAGACTACAGCAGTCATACATTCACGAGGCTAAATTTCCAAAAGTTGCTCGTTATAACGATCGAGTTCTGAATAAATATCTGCTATGTATCAGAAACCCCATTCTCGAGAAGAACGGTGAACAAATGTACGCTATCTATAACCACTAGAGTAAGAGTCAATCTAACATGTGAATAATGAAGAAAGTCTAAAGAAAGTGTTTAAGAGAAAACAGGGGACCAGCACCTAAAATTAAACAGTATTGTTCAGACATTAGTTGGTTTTCTAGAGAGTTTCTTGGCTTCCAGAGCTACGGATTGGTCCATCTGAAAAGTAACTTTATGTGAGATGTAAGGTATCACTGAGATACACACAGCAGAAATTTGCTTAAGAAATCTTGTTTCCTAAGAGAACCTATAGCTCCATCACTCACCTACCATGCAAAAACGACATTTCAGCTACGCTTTATATAAGGGAGGCTTCCATATTCTTTATTCATTGCATCGAAACGAGGCCAATATACAACAGAGGGAGAGAGAAGAGAGAGATATGGGTTTAATAATTCGAGTTCTGGTTCTGGTGGCTTGCATCTTCCCAGCTTTGGTTGAATGCCGAGTTCGGCATTACAAGTTTGATGTAAGTGTTGGTTATTTTAATCAATCACAAGCAAAAGGCAGGACTTTTTTTACATTCATAATTCCAAGCTTTTTTCTTTTTTTTCCCCTTTGTTGTTCACTTTTGTTATAAGATGATTTCAAAAAGGAAGAACGAAAGAAAAAGGCTTCTCTTTTGTAACATTTTTCTTTCATTCTAAACATCAAAAGGTTTCGTTTGTCTTTTGAATTGGCAGAACTGCTTAAAGATGTTCAGGCTAAATTTATTTTTACCATTTACGTCAACATGATATCATGGTTTCTGACCTTCCTTTAATTGACCCATCAATATGTATTTTATACCAAATCTGAAACAAAGACAAATCAACATACTGGCGATTCAAATTCTTATTCTATATGTTTTTGGCAGGTGGTTTTGAAAAATACTACCAAACTCTGCTCGAGTAAGCAAATCGTCACTGTTAACGGAAAGTTCCCGGGGCCTACCATCTATGCCAGGGAAGATGACACAGTGCTTATTAAGGTTGTTAACAATGTCCAGTACAACCTCTCCATTCACTGGTAAGCCTTCCTCACAAAATTATAATCCATCTCTCTTTATGTGATGAAGCCTAAATGCAAACAGCATAAGAATGAATGACTAGCAACTATACTTAGAAGAGGAAGGTAAAGGATAATACTTGCCCCTTGCTTACTTTCTTTCTCTGGTCAGGCATGGAATTCGGCAGCTTCGAACCGGTTGGGCTGATGGACCGGCTTACATTACCCAGTGTCCAATCCCACCAGGACAAAGCTATGTATACAACTTCACCATTACTGGCCAAAGAGGCACCCTTCTATGGCATGCGCATATTCTCTGGCTGAGGGCGACTGTCCATGGTGCTTTAGTCATCTTGCCCAAGCTTGGTGTGCCATATCCATTCCCAGCTCCTCATAAAGAAGTCGTCGTTGTATTAGGTAAGCAAGCTTAAAAGTAAAACTTATCGTCTCTGGCATTTGCTTTACCTTCACTAGAAACTTCACTGATTTGGTCCAAAAACATGATGCTTCAGCTGAGTGGTGGAAATCCGACACCGAAGCCGTGATCAACGAAGCTTTGAAATCAGGATTAGCTCCAAATGTATCAGATGCTCACACAATCAATGGTCATTCAGGACCCATCTCAAACTGTTCTTCGCAAGGTACAACATCAATCAGAACATAGAACTATCAATACAATGACTTGTACTTAAGATTGACATTAAAATTTCTGCTTAGGGGGCTTCACTTTGCCTGTCAAGAGTGGAAATACGTACTTACTGCGCATAATCAATGCTGCACTCAATGAGGAGCTCTTCTTCAAGATAGCTGGGCACAAGCTCACAGTTGTGGAGGTAGATGCTACCTATGTGAAGCCATTTAAAACAGACACAATTGTGATAGCCCCAGGCCAAACCACCAATGCCCTCATAACTGCTGACCAAACCTCTGGCAAGTACTTAGTTGCCGCCTCCCCTTTCATGGACTCCCCGATCACAGTCGATAACAACACCGCCACTGCCACTCTCCACTACTCCGGCACACTTTCTACCACTGCAACAACCTTAACCGCCCCACCTCCTCAAAACGCAACCCCAGTTGCCAACAACTTCATAAACTCTCTCAGAAGCCTTAATTCAAACACCTTCCCTGCACTACTCCCATTGACGATTGATCATCAACTTTTCTTCACCGTTGGCCTTGGAATCAACCCTTGCCCGACCTGCAAGGCCGGGAATGGAAGCCGAGCAGTGGCTAGCATTAACAATGTCACATTCGTGATGCCAACCACGGCCTTACTTCAAGCTCATTACTTCAACATCAATGGAGTCTTTACAACTGATTTCCCTGGTAACCCACCTCATGTTTTCAACTACACTGGCAGTGGACCGTCAAATTTGCAGACGGTAAGAGGGACCAAGCTTTATAAGCTGAAATACAACTCTACGGTGGAGCTTGTTTTACAAGACACTGGGATCATCGCACCAGAAAACCACCCAGTTCATCTCCATGGGTTTAATTTCTTCGTTGTTGGGAAAGGAATTGGAAATTATGACCCTAAAAATGACCCTAAATCGTTCAATCTCGTCGACCCCGTTGAGAGAAACACCGTCGGAGTGCCTTCCGGTGGATGGACAGCCATCAGATTCCGAGCGGATAATCCAGGTAATTTTAAGTCTAAATACCAATTTAATATTCTAATTTTACTTCTTTTATATTTAAAATTTGACAGTTTTTCTTTTTTTATAACAACGGTTTATCTTAATCTTATATCAAATAATTTAAAACAAACAAAATATAATTTTCAACTTACATTATATAAATTTTGAGTAATTATCTTGTAAAGAATTTTGAAGATTAAATATGATGCATAGTTGATTTGGTCATATAGATCAATTATAACAATTTAATATTACAATTTCAAGAAATACTTTATATTAAAGCTGATTTTTTTCAAAAGCGTGGTTGACAACAGTTATTTAAGAAGCTACAACAATCTCAAACTATGCCTTAGTCCATACTTCGAAAATTTCGAATGAATCCTTAAACTTTTGAGGTTGTGTCTACTTAATATATTTCAAAAAGTTTATAATAAGTCCATGAACTTCAAATTAATATCTAATAGGTTATGTTAACTCCACATCACAAGCCAATGGACATAACTCAGTGATAATTGACATATATATCCAACTATGAGGTTATAATAATATTAATTATAGTATTTTTAAAGTACAAGAAACAAATTGATACAAATTACCTTTAGATTGAACACCTAGAAATAGAGTAACATGGAATAATGTTGGGCGCTGTAAAGCATGCATGAAGATATAGGTGTGCTGTTACCGAGACAATTTGGGCATAAGTGGAGATTGAGTTGCGTCACCTGATCATATCATGTTGAGATCTATTCGAAACTTTTCAAAAGTACTCCATAGACACAAATTTCAATTCCGAAACTTATAAAAGTTTCAGCCACCGATCATGAAAAATTTTGTTGCTAATTGCAAATCTTGTTGATGATGTTTATTTTTGTAGGAGTTTGGTTTATGCATTGCCATTTGGAAGTGCACACAACATGGGGATTGAAAATGGCTTTCTTGGTGGAAAATGGCAAAGGACCAAACCAATCAATCCTTCCACCTCCAAAGGACCTTCCAAAATGCTAGACCACAAGAAAGAGAGATAAAAAGGAGGCATAATCCATTACAATAAATATCAATTAAGAGAATGGTCAATCAAAAGGCAGAGAGAAGAAGAAAATAGCCATTGGTGGCTTTTTCTTTTTTGCTTTCTTATGGAAACAGAAGAATTTGCTTAAGCTTGTTGAAATAAATTTTACTTGTAATTTAATTGTTTGAACAAATTAAGGAATTCATTTCTCTTTCTTCTTCTTTCCTTTGTTCATGAGTCTGTATTGAATGAAAAAATGATCAATGTTAGGGGCTATTTCTCTTATAATTTTATCATCATCATTATCAGAGTTAATTGACATAACTCAATTATTGGTAAAGTGATTATGAATGTGTTTTGAATTAACTTTTTAAGTGATCTGGAGAGCCAAATGTGTATTTTAGAAAAATATATAGAGTGTTTGAGAATAAATAAAAATCACTTTTAAAATGATCTAATTGATTTTTTTTTTTTTAAAGAATCACCTTATTGACCAGAAATGACTTTATGATAATTTGATATTTGTACAGCCCCATTTATATGCGATGCAATCAAACCTAATCAAAATCACTTTTAAGAAAATGTAACCTAATGCACCAACATTTTATTTAAAACCAATTTTTGGAATTTTAAGAAAAGATATATTTTAATGTGTTTAAATTAAAATGAGGTAAAATTCACCCTAATAATCTCATTTAAAAGTAGAGGTTGAAGACTCCTCTCTATTTTAACTAAAATAAATAAATATTTTAACCCACTCGTGTTATAAATTAAAATTGGAATATCATAAAAAAAATTAAAATTGGAATTTATGCGGCTGGGGAGTAGCTTATTGGGCCTAGAGCTTCAGGACTGGTCCATCAATAGAATAATGGGCCGGCCTATGTTCTCACTTTATGGGTTGAGTAACATGCGGTGTAATGGGCCGTCATGACCCACTACGAACTACGAAATGTTGCTAGCCAATTCGGAGTACGGTTTGCGTGGCGACTGTGGATTGGATGAAAGACACACCGAAAAGGTCAGAAAGCAAAATTTATAAAGTAATTAATAATTTAAATAGAAAACTATTTATTTTCTTCTCTGAAACATCAAAAGGGGATGTAGCTCAAATGGTAGAGCGCTCGCTTTGCATGTGAGAGGCACGGGGTTCGATCCCCCGCATCTCCAATTTTTTAAATATTTATCTTTCTATTAGATAATAATCGCTTATGAACCATTCTATCTTTTAAAGATTCAACACAATAATCGAATTCCTACTTTATCTTTCTAAATTTAATTTATTATGTTTGTATAAGATTGAAAATTCATACAAATTTATTATAAATCATTTTTACTGAGAATTTTACCAGTTTAACTTTTAAAAATATAATCTAAAATTTTTTTAAAAAAATAGAAAACAAAAGAGAGAATCATAATCAAATGAAGCACAAGTCATTCATCTATAAAATTGGGTCTTTTGCTTTTAAAAGTTTTGTTACATGCTCCCTCCCCTTTTCATGAACTAGTCTTAATTCGCATAAGCAAGGAGTAATACAAGTCTTAACAAAACAACATATTTATTGTTATAATTAAGTGAGTGAATAACATAATATTTTGTTTTGACCTCAAGAGGAGATGTAGCTCAAATGGTAGAGCGCTCGCTTTGCATGTGAGAGGCACATGGTTTGATCCCACGTGACTAATCAACTATAGTTTGTGGATAGGATAGATGAGCACTATATTATGACATTTTGTTTTGACAACACAAAGGTGACACATTAGTCGGAGGAAATTTCATAGGACACTAATTAGTCGTTTTGCTTATAAAAATTTTGTTACATGGCCCCTATCCTCATTAAAGCTTACTAGAAGTTCTTAATTGGAATTAGTGAGGGTATACAAGTCTAACAAAAATAGTATATTTATAGCCATAATAATTGGGTTCAATAATATAACATTTTGTCAACTATGGTTCACTTTAGTCTATGTACTTTCAAAATGTGTTTTAGTTTCCATACTTTTAAAAAGTAACATTTTTTGTCCTTATCTACAAAATTTTAACACAAATCATATACCTAACAAAAACTTATTTACTTAAAGTTATTACTACATTTCAATAAATATATTAAGTGCAGTGTCCTGTTAAAATTATGATCGAAAAAAAGATAAAAAATAAAATAAAAAGACCAAAACAATCCCATTTTAAAAATATGTATAATAAAACAAATGTATTGAAAGTATATGAATGAAAATGAACCAAAATTGGGAGTCCAATACCAAAATAAAAATTTTAAAACAGAACAACTAAAATAAACTAAAACTGCGGAAACCAAAACAGTACTTGACAAACATTTAATTTATATGGGTTGCTTAACAAAGAATTAATGAAAACAATTAAAACATAGAGACCAAAAATGCAAAATTTTTAATAATTTCATATAATGGTCAATTCAACATCAAAATCACTTCACAAAAGAAAGGTAATAGAAATGCATACGAGTTGCTAGGTGTACAAGCACTCACAAAAACATTTAATTATGGAAAAAGGGAAAAAAAGTAGAGGCAACAAAAGCACTACACTGATGCACAGTAACACATGTCCCCTCTCACTCCATACATTAATATTTTTAATAAAATAATTCATTATTTTTTTTTCCTTTTAATTATTTTATGCACAAAAATAAAGTTGCCCAAAATTGAATAAGTAGAATAATTGTTAGTGGTTTGCTATTTTTCATTCAAAGTGGCCAACAAATTAGAAAGCAATCACATAATGTACAGCCAAATGTGGAAATGGGACAAAATCCAATTTTAAATTTATGAAAATTATATGTTTTTTTTATTTTTCTTTGGTGTCATCTTTTTTTATTCTTTGATACCTGTAAAATGTTGGTTGTATATGTGGGACTATGGTTATTATTATTAAATGTATATTTTTTTGGAGCTAGGAATGTTATTTTTAATATAAGAATGTACTTGATCCCTACCTAACCCATTAGATCTTGTTTATGATTAATGATCAACTTTTTATTACACTTTTTAAGGTCATTAATGCTTCTAAGTACTAAGAAAATCTTCTTTTTCCTCAAACCCACCAATTACACACCAACCTAGTGTCCCCTTGGTGTTTGGAACTAACTCCAAATCCCTATGAGTTAACTTATAAAACCAAAATAATAATAATAATAATAATAATTGTTAAAAAAACTAGGGTATTTGTTGTTGTTTGTATCGATTTAGTTCTTGTTCTTTTAAATTGGTAACAATTGAGTCTATGAATTTTAATATGTAACAATTTAACTATTGTAGTTTAAATTTTGTAACGATTTAACCTCTATGCTGAAAAATGTTGTTAAGATTCAACGAAAATTCTTAGGTATGTAAATCCATAAACTGATAAAGGACCAAATATGTTTATAAATTACAAAGATTGAGTAGTTATATAATAAAATCAGACACATAATTGTGATCAGCACTGTAGGGACTAAATTGTTACAAATTTTTAACAATGTCTACCAGACTAAATTGTTTACCAACTCAACTCAAGTTCAAGGGAAGTATAAAGACCACAAGTATTTAAAAAAAATTAAAAATAAATTAAAAAAATTGTTCAAACTACCACTTATTGGAAAACTACCACGCCACTAAATTATAAGTTCGAATCATCACTTTATATTTGTGGTTAACAATTGATTTTTTTTCCTCGCAGTTTAGTTTGCTATCCTTTAGTGAATTATAAACTTGTGAACTAAGATCTTCAACCACGTAGTTACTTAAATCTTCCTAAGTAATTTGAACACAACTTTACATTATATAACATTCTAAAAAATTATTCTACAAAACAAATTGACAAAGATTTCAAATGTACAATGTGGGAAAGAGGAAACTCTAATTTCCCTTTCTTGCAATTAGGAAAAAAGAAGTCCAGATTCTCCTCTATCTTTTTGGTTTTTCTTTACCCTGTTGGGGAATAGTGGTTTCAATTATTATTGCCACCTTTTCATTGGGATTCCATTTTCACCATACTTTTTTTTTTCTAAGCAATGGAAGAACAAGTGGAAGGGACTATATACATGAATCAAAACTTTTCAACAGTTTTTGAGGTTAGAGCCAAGCCAACAGATTATATGATAAAACCACTATACTATTTTGAGCTAAATTAATAATAGAGCATGTGATGATGAGATGAGAATTTTAATCTTCAGCCATGAAAATTATCAGTGTTCGAGTCTCAGTAATGGTTTGGCCATTGGCATTTGGCATTTGGCAATGGCATCTCTGTTTTCTCTCTCTCAAAAACTTTTTTCTGTGAAGAATCAGCTACCACAATCACTGCACCCACCAATTACAACTCAACACTGTTGACCTTTCATTTTCATTCTCTTTAATTCTCTGCAATTCTTGCTCCTTACATACCACAGAGTACTGAGGCCATTTTCTTTTCCATAACCAGAGCCCACCATTGCCTAGGGCTACGGCTTTCAGATTCATTTCAAAGAATTTTCTCCCACTTTTTTCTGTTTTTTAGCTATTGGGTCTCTCTTTTTTCCAATTGGGTCTTCTTTTTTCTCTTTGATTCTCCTTTTTTCTTGTTTTTTCCCTAATGGGTCGAGTTCCTATCACGATTTTAGGAACCTGAGAGGACAGAGAGAAGAAAGGTCTCTGGAATTTTCATTTAATCCGAGCTCTGGCGATGGGGATTTTAGTTTTTTCTGTAATTGTTTCCTTGGATCTGAAATATTGAGCCTCTAGGGTTTTTGTCACCGACGAATCTTCCTAGGGCTCTTGAAAAAGTGGAGATGTCTTTTCGAGATTCCCCACGAAAAGCTTCTCGAATTCTTCCATTTCCATGACCTGAAGAAACCCTCCACTGTTGTCCATTTTTCTGTCTGGGTTTTCAGAGATTTTCGGCCATGGAATTTCTCTCGCCAGCTTCTTACCTTCGAAATTCCTACTGGCTGTTTCAAGAAACCAAAGGAGCCCAATGGACTCCCGAGGAAAACAAACGGTTCGAGAATGCTCTGGCCCTGTACGATGAGCAGACTTCCGATCGGTGGCTGAAAGTCGCTGCCATGATTCCCGGAAAAACCATCGGCGATGTGATGAAACAGTACCAAGAACTGGAGGAAGACGTCAGTGATATAGAGGCCGGCCTGATTCCGATTCGTGGCTACTCCAATCGCCACTCCTTCACATTGGATCGAGCCGATAGCAGCCATGGATTCGATGATTTGAGCCATTTCTATGGCTCAGGAGTTAAGAGAGGAACCTCAAATAAACCTTCTGATCATGAAAGGAAGAAAGGAATTCCATGGACTGAAGAAGAACACAGGTAAATTACTGAATTTCATAGCTCTGTTCTTTCCTCTGTTATAACTGATGTGAAAATCCTTTAGAATTTTGGATTCAAACTGTAGTGATCGAGTTTCTCGAAACCAAATGTTGTAGAAGTAGACGATTGTTCGGTATTTTGCTTAGCATTTTGTCCACTGTCTTGATTGAGACATTGTGCAAATGAATATAGAAGTTCCATGTCCTTTTCAGTTGTGTGTGTGTGTTTTTTTATGGTATCTTATGGCTCTGCTGCTTTTGATTTTGGGTGTTTGTTGATTAAAACCACAGGCAATTTCTGATGGGTCTTAAAAAATACGGGAAAGGTGACTGGAGAAACATATCTCGCAATTTCGTTACGACGAGAACACCGACGCAAGTCGCCAGTCATGCTCAGAAGTACTTCATAAGACAGCTGACCGGAGGGAAGGACAAGCGAAGATCGAGCATCCACGACATCACGACCGTCAATCTTCCAGATGCTAAATCGCCATCGGGGGACAGTAACAGACCTCCATCACCGGATCATCCTGCAGATGCAATGGCTGCACAGCTGCATCAGCTCTCAAAGATGGTTGGCAAGGCCGAGCAGGAATATGACTGGAAATGTCCGAATCAGGGGACGGGGGCCAGAGTTCTCGACTCGATGAACAGTAACA